AGCAAAATCGCATATCAGCCGAGCATACACCCAGCAGCGCTGCTGATGCCTGAACGGTATGTGGAATGAAGTGGGCGGGCATCGGGAGGCCACTATGGCACGGGGCAAGCACTATGGGCAGTCTATCTGAAGTGTACCTGGCGTATAAGACGACCCCCCACTTGGAGGCATATTTTTCAGGGCCAAAAAATCGTCTTATACGCTGGCAAATACGGTATGAGTTTGTTTCAGTTCTGCTTGTTATTTATTTTGGTTCTTAGATTCAATTGTTGATAGATAGATATGCATTTATTGCTGTTTTATTGTTCATATTTTTTCTTTTTCTTTGTAAAGAAGACCCTTTAACATTTCATATAATACTGGTTTGATGGTGATGAACTCATTTAGCTTTTTCTTGTCTGGTAAGCTCTTATCTGTCCTTTCATTCTAAGTGATGGCTTTGCATTATAGGACCTTGCTTTTCATCATTCTGAGTATTTCTTGTCACTCCCTTTGGCCTGCAAAGTTTCTGTTGATAAATCAGCTGATTGTCTTATGGGAGCTATCTTGTAGGTAACTAACTGCTTTTTTCTTGCTATTTTTTTAAATTCTCTCTTTGTGTTTAACCTTTGCCATTTTAATTATGATGTGTCTAGATGTGGGCCTCTTTGGGTTCATCTTGTTTGGGACTCTGTGCTTCCTGAACTTGTATGTCTATTTTCTTCACCAAGTTAGGAAAGTTTCCTGTCATTTTTTCAAATATGTTTTTAATTTCTTGCTCTCTCTTCCCCTTCTGGCACCGCCACGACGCAAGAGCCTTCCTAGCACTGTGAGAAACACTGTTTCTCACCCTAGAGGGCTTTGATGACTGTGGTAAGTGGACGTGAATACAGTAGGTCCTTGGGCTACATCGGAGATCTGTTCCTACCGTGCTATGTAACGCGATTTTCACTGTAAGTCGGAACCCACCTACATAAGCACCTATGTCACTCACATGGAGCACATGCACAGCAGTAATGAAGTGAAACAATAAAAAAAATTTAAAAGAAAGATAACAATTCCTGACCTTTACTTGTGGTAAATAAATAATAAAAAACATAAAGCACATATGTACATATGTCGAAATGATGGAACTTTTTTTTTATAAGTACTGTAAATGAGAGTTGGCAACGTAACCACGAAACAACATACGCTGAGTCTGTCATAACCCGAGGACTGCCTGCATTGGTTGAAGTTGTCCCAGAGACTCCTTACACTATCTTCATTTATTTGGATTCTTTTTTCTTTTTGCTGTTCTGATTGGGTGTATTTTGCTTCCTTATATTCCCAATCACTGATTTGATTCTCAGCTTTATCTACTCTACTGTTTTGTTATTTATTTTTTTAATATTTTTTATTGATTTCAGAGAGGAAGGGAGAGGGAGAGAGAGACAGAAACAACAATAATGAGAGAATCACTGATCGGCTGCGTCCTACATGCCCCCTATTAGGGATCGAGCCCACAACCTGGGCATGTGCCCTTGGCCGAAATCGAACCTGGGACATTTCAGTCCGCAGGCCAACACTCTATCCACTGAGCCAAACTAGCTAGGGCTGTTTTGTTTTTTAGATTCCACAAATAAGTGAAATCATATGGTATTTGTCTTTCTCTGTTTGACATATTTCACTTGGCATAATACTCTCTAGATCTATCCACATTGTCACAAATGGTAAGGTTTCATTTATTTAATGGCCGAGTAATATTCCATTCTATATATGTACCGCTTTTTCTTTACCTGGTCATCTACTGATGAACACTTAGGTTTGGGGTCTGGGTGAAAAAGGCAAAAGGATTAAGAAGTACAAAATGGCAGTTGTAAAATAATCATGGGGATATAAAGTATAGAATAAAGAAAATAGTCAATAATATTGTAATAGCTATGTAGGGTGCCAGGTGGGTACTATACTTATCAGGGGGAACACTTAATAAGTTATATAAATGTCTAGTCACTATGCTGTACCCCTGAAACTAATATAATGCTGAATGTCAAGCGTAATTTTTTTTTATAAAGTATGAAAAGACAAGCCACAGACCTGTAGAAAATATGTGCAAAACATTTATTCCATAAAGGACTTTTATTCTAAATATATTGTAAAAACTATTAAACAAAACAATTATAACACAATTATAACAAAACAAACACAACTCAATTTGAAATTGACAAAAGATTTGAACAAAAACTTCAAATAAGTACAGAAAAAAAATGTTCAACATTATTAGTCATTAGGAAAATGCAAATTTAAACCACAATGAGATACCACTACTCAAAATGGCTAATTTTAGAATGGCTAAAATTAAAGACTGATGTGTTAGTGACAATGTGGAGGAACTAGAAGTTTTTCATAAACTGCTGGCAGGAATGTAAGATGTTTTCACAGTTTCTTAAGTTAAACATAAACCTCCCATATAACCAAGTCACTCCATTCCTAGATATTTATGCAAAATAAGTGAAAGCATATGTCCACAAAAGGAGTCGTACACAAATGTTCAGAGCAGCTTTATCACTGTTCAGCAATAAAAAGGAATAAACTACTGATACAAGCTTTGACATAGGTGAAACTCAAATTACTCTGAGTGATAGAAGCTAGACAACAAACGAGTACATACTGTACAAATCCAATTATATGAAATTCTAAAATATGTAAGGTAACTTGTAGTGAAAGAAAGGAGATTGAGTCAGTGGTTGCCTGGAATGGGGGGAGAGTCAGGGAGTGGGGATGTGGTAGGGCGTAAGAGGTGGTATCACGAAGGAATTACAAAAGGGCACAAAAGAACTTTTGGTAGTTATTGATAATGTCCATCATTTTTGATTTGGTGATGATTTCACAGATGCATACATATATTCAAATTATCAAATTGCATGCTTTAAATATGTGTAGTGCCCTGGCCGGTTTAACTGGGTGGGCAGAGGACTGAAAGGTCTCGGGCTTGATTCCTGATCAAGGGTTTGATCCTGGCCCGGCCCGCGGGTTGGGACATGTGTGGGAGGCAACTAATTGATGTGTCTCTCTCTGATTCTATAATTTTATGGTCCTACTAATACTTATTTCATACATAATTTCCGGGATACATATACTGCAGTATACCAAACTAACTTCTGATATAAGAGTATCCAACGGCCTTCTGCAAAATATAAATAATCCATTTGAATCTACTTATTTTTAAAATTCTATTCTGTATAATCTTCCTAAACTTTCTGTATAGAATAATTATTATTAAAGTTTTAAACAACTGAATTTATAGTTTTGAGTTTACTTTTTACACAACAAAAACAAAGTCACAAAATTATTTGGAAAAGATGAACACTGCCAGAAAATAAAAAGAAAACAAACTAAAACTGAGGCATAAATATTTGTGAAGGAGGGAATTACATTTTATTTCTTGAGTAATTTATGAATATTAAAAACGATACATAGGTTATTTAACATGTCAATGAATCAACTGTAAGTATTTAAAAATAAAAGTATGATCATCATAAGACAGCACCTCATTCAACAAATATTTTGAGTACTTAGTGTGCGTCAGGCACTAACTGGAAATGTCACTTATCATAAGCAAAATTCCTGTATATACAGAGGTCCAGTTTCTGTCCTCTAACCAGGGGTTAACAAACATTTTAGGTAGAGTCAGACAGCAAACATCATAATCAGTCAGCTCCATCTTATAGCACAAAAGCAGCCATAGATGATGTGTAAATGAATGAGCATAGCTATGGTCCAACGAACACTGAAACTTGTACTTCATATAATTTTCATGTCACAAAGTATTCTTCCTCTTTTTCTTTCAAGCACTTAAAATGTAAAAACCACTCTTAGGTAACAGGCCAGATTAAAATAAGTGGCCAGCTAGGTCTGGCAACCCGTGCTCTAAAGTTTTACATTTTTTACACTTCCCCCAATTTTTTATATTTTCTCCAAATAAATACATGTGATTGAAATGTTACCCATGGTAGTAGGCATACAATGAA